AAAATACATTGTAATTTTGATTATAAAGCCGAATGATATTACCAAAAATTATTTTCCAAAGAACAATGATATTCTGAATCCAAAATTCTAATGTTAATAAAAACTAAGGATGGGTGGTAAAATATCAAAGTGTGTCAAACTTCTTATATTATAAAAATACAGGATACTGTTTCATTCCTGACTCTGATAAGAGAGGAAATGTAGGTTAAATTATATTGTAAAACACAAGGCAACAGAAAACTTGGTAGTTTGAAAGGCAGAATGAAATATAGGGTATAGGCTGGGTGCAGTGGCTCACGCATGGAATCCCAGCACTTTGGGAGGCCGAGGCAGGCGGATCACGAGGTCAGGAGATCGAGACCATTCTGGCTGACATGGTGAAACTCCGTCTCTACTAAAAATACAAAAATTAGCTGGGCGTGGTGGTGGGCGCCTGTAATCCCAGCTACTCAGGAGGCTGAGGCAGGAGAATCACTTGAACCAGGGAGTCGGAGATTGCAGTGAGCACAGATCGTGACGCAGCACTCCAGCCTGGAGACAGAGCAAGACTCGGTCTCAAAAAAAAGAAAACAAAAGAATGAAATATAGGGTATATACTGTACTAAGCTCTGATGATAATGAAAGCCCTAGCTGCCACCTTGGCTGCAATCTTTGAGACCCCAAGCCAGAAGTATCTAGCTAAATGACTTATAAATTTCGCACTCATAGTAACTGTGTGAGAAAATGATGTTTATTGCTTGTTATGAGCTCAATTGTGTCCCCTCAGAATTCATATGCTGAAGTCCTTATCCTCAATCTTCAGCATGTGACTGTATTTGGAGGGAGGGCCTTTAAAGAGGTGATTAATTTAAAATGAGGTCGTTAGGGTGGGCCCTAACCCAATTTGACTGGTCTCCTTGTAAGAGGAGGTTTGGACACAGAGACAACCAGGGATCATGTGTACAGAGGAGAGGCTGTGTGAGGACACAGCAAGCAGGTGGCCATCTGCAAACCAACAGGAGAGGCCTTGGGAGAAACCAACCCTGCTGACAATTTGACTTTGGACTTCCAGCCTCCAGATCTGTGAGAAAAGAAATCTCTGTTGCTTAAGCCACACAGTCTGTGGCATTTTGTTATGGCAGCTTTAGCAAACTAATATACTTTTGTTTTAAGCTGCTAAATTTTGAAGTCATTTGTTAGCCATATATAACAAATACAGACTCTTCATTTTGGAGGTTGTTATGACTAATTTGTATGGAGAAACAAACACCAAAAAATAACAAAATAATCAACCAGAGAAAGTAACAGAGTTCCCAGCAATCCTGTAATGCTGCCTTCAGTTTATTCCCTGGTCTGTCTTTTTCTAATTCTGTAAGACTGTTCCAGAAGTTCCCCTAACATGATTCTGAGTCTCCCAGCCACAATTCCTGATGGGAAAATAGTACCCAGTCCACCCCCTGAACCCACTTCCCACCTCAGGATACAATCAGAGATGAGAACATGTGCTTATATATTTGGTATTTTGGAGAAGACAAACGTAAATAAGCTGCATGCCCAACTCTAGGAACAAGTTGTATGTAAATTGTAACCCATCCTTATGATAGAATATCATTCAACGATTACAAAGCCTGTTTTCAAAAAGGTCCTTAATGATCCAGAGGCATTTTAATAATGTATTTTTTAAATAAAAAGATGTGTTTTTATTTGTATAAAAATATTGTATTTTAAAGTAGGATTGGAAACTGCTGGTAGAGGTTACCTTTGGATCGTAGGATGTGGAAGGTGATTCTTTTTCTCTTTTTAAAACTTTCTGTTCTTTTGACACTGAATATGTATTACTTTCATAATCAGAAGGTGCATTTTACTTGAAGAAAAAAGCATCTTGCCCATCCTCAAGACTCCCCAAATCTCCCTGTTAAAATGAATGTTTCCCCTATAATGCCATTGTTTTACTTTACCTCGTATTATCACATCTTCATATTTGGCATTTGCATACTATTTTTCTTCTAAGCAGTTATGAATGTGTGCCTAACAATAGCAGTGTTATCCAGGTTTAGCTTTCCAGAAAGTAACATCACTCATCTCACATTAGCATGATAATACCTATCCACAGGCAGGGCAGGCCCATTCCTGTAGCCCTCCATTTCTTTGGGGGGCAGGTGCTGTGGGTTTTCATCCTGTTCCCAGTGCCAGGCACATGACGGTTGTTTAATGTGTATTCACTGGATCGAAGAGAATTCCTCTTCCCATTATAAACTTGTTTGCTGATTAATCCTGAGAACACCTGGATGGGGACATCAGTGCTTTGGGTGGTGGGATTTCAGGGGTACTGAGAAGGCCTTTTCCTCTCTCCTGAGCTGATGCCATTATCCCATCCATAGCATGAGTTTCCTGAGCAAGCGTTCCTGGCCTAAGTGAGAGTGGAAAGCGGCGTTACAGCCACTTTCTATCACATTACAACATGTCCCAGGAGCTGCGCTGGGGGCCATGAGGGAAGTGGAAACCAAGGCCATCCAGAGGACAAGGACCTGAGACTAGGAAGGAGGTGGCAGTCCCTGAGTCCTGTGTGTCCTTTCTCCCATCTTGCTCATGGCTCTAGAGGCTTCAGCACACTGCTAGGCCATGAAGCACTCTCTAAGAGCAGCATCTAAGACGCTGAGAATCGGGCTTTGTCGGTGAGGAGAACCCTACTAGTGGGCTGGGAGTGGAGGCTGCAGGTGCTTGCTGTCTCTGTGAGCTCAGCCTTCATGGTGTTCTCCCTGTGTGCAAGCCTATCTCCAAATTTCCACATTTCAAAAGGACACCAGTCATACTGGAGTAGGGGCCCAGCCTATTCCAAGATGACCTCACCTTAACTAATTACATCTGCAATGACCCTATTTCCAAATAAGGTCATATTCTGAGGTACTGGGGGGTTAGGACTTCAGACATCTGAATTTTGGGGGACACAATTCAACCCGTAACAAGGGGGTGGGCAGTTCACAGGAGAAAGGAATCATCCTCTCTCCCCTGACTCATGCTCCTTAGGATTTGTGTCCAAACATTGTAAGTCCTTTTAAGACATCATTCATTTAAGGATTTTAGAGTTTTGGAAACCAAGGGAAGGATCTTCCTTATGTTCTGCTTTCTGCCCAACTCCATCTCTTCTTTGATGCAACAAGTTAGTTGTGTGAATCCAGGCAAGAGCAAAAAATAAAAATAAAAAAATCAGTAAACCAGTCAATATTTCAAAGAGGTGATCTTTCCAATAAATACACATTTTTTTTTTTTTCCTGGAGTACTGAAGAGTAAGTCTAAGGCTAGAGGAGCTAGTGGGTAAGGAGCTAGTGGGTAAGGACTGTGTCCTCTTTGGAGATAAAAGTTGGCAATCAGCAGTTGTTCCTTTAGCAAATAAGAAGAGAGAAGCAGCTTAAAAAAACACACACACATTTATTTTAAAATTTGACATAATCCTTGGGTAATTCAGAATTAGCTTAGGCATTTTTCAGAAGTTTCTGAGACTGATGTCTCAACTCCAAACCAATAGCAATAGCTTATTTGATTGGTGGAAGGATTAGAGGGCCCCGTGATCCAGATGAATAGATGGCTATCAAAGAAGACAGAACCCCATAGACAGAGGCAGCATTAAGTCATAATTTCTAAATTAACTGTCATAAATATGAAACTTCTCACCAGACCAACGATAACATCCGTATCATAATTTGCATTTTACCAAAGTGTCCACATATAGACAGCACAGAACTAAAAGTTCTGTAGACTTCAGAATCACATTTAAATTAATTTGATCCTTTATATTAATAATAATTAAAAACTAGATTCTACCCAGTGTCGTCCCAGTCTCCACACCAACATGTATGTCCTGCTGTCAGAATGCCACCTCTTCTGCGCTCAGTGGTCATGATTCGAAGATTCAAATGAGTGTGTCAAATCAGAACATAAACCAAGCCAGGAATTCATGGGCCCAGATTGGGGTAAAGGGCTTGTCCTATACAGCAGTGAAGCAGCCCACGTGCTCTGCTCATTCCCAGGCAGAATCAGACTGGAGCTGCAGGCAGCGAGGAGGAGGGCGTGCTCTGTGTTGTCCACCGTTTTGCAAGGTTTCTTGGGTATTCCAAGGAGGGCAATTGTTGTCTCCCAATAAGACAGTTAATTCCCTGAGAACAGGACCTCTTCCCCACTAGCCTCCGTCACAGCAGGGTGCATGCAGCCGAGGTCTGAGCACAGAGCAGGTCCCTACTGAAGGCAGGAAGGAAACCAGCATGAACTGAGCACCTACTATGTGCCAGGTACAGAGCCAGGACAGGGGCTTTCCTGTAATCCTCACAACAGCACTGTGAGACAGGGTCATCATCGCCACTTTACAGGTGTGGAAACAGAGGCTCAACGAACAGCATTTGCCCACAGTGGCACAGCTAGTCATAGGGGAGCATCAGTTTGAAAATCCAGGCCTTCTCACTCCAGGGCCCTTTCTAGCTACGTAAGATGAGGGTTTGGCAGTAAATGAGGATCCCAGCTCCGAGATCGTTGGTTTGGAGCCCAAACGTTAGATCCCCTTGAGCACATGGGGCCAGCCTTGAGAGTGCAGAGCCCTGGCTCTACAGCATGACTTGCTGATCTTGTGCAAGTCTTTTAACCTCTCCACACCAGGGCTGCGCTGGTCCAGCAGGATTCCCTATCAGGGAGAGGGGACTTGGTAAAACCATCTGGAGAGCGTGTTTGCGAACCACAGTGGGCCAGCCTCTGCTCAGAGAGCCTGATGTTGCTCACTTGCAAGGAAGAGGCGCAGGGCATTGCAATCTGCTAGCACACCTCTCACACCTGGTGAGAATCAGTTCTGCTCTCCAAGGTTCTGACCTCTGAGAGTGACGTAAGTCCAGAGAGCCACACCACTACTCGAGAGACCTTCAGCAAAATGCCCGTGCGCTCAAAGAAATTGGGGTCAGGATGCTTTTAAAGCAAAAAGGGCTTAAAAGTAATTCGGGAGGGGAAGATGACTTGAAAAGGAAAAAAAAAACAAAACAAAAAAACAGATAGTGGTTAGGAGGAGATTTGGGGGTAGGTATTGAAAAGGAAGAATGGGACTGTGGTATGCAAACCCAGCTGACAGGACAGGGTCAGGCCAGGCAGAGCCTGGAGAAATCAGGTTTCGGGGATCTGCAATGCCTCGTATGTGTCATGAGGCTGCACTTGCTACCTCAGACATGGGTAGGAGGTTTCCTAAAAAAATATCTTGGGTCTCTAAGTTCAGGTAGATCTTAGAAAGTAAATATGGGAAGAAAGAAAAATGCAACTCAAATGGCTCAGATGTAATCTGCTTGTCATGTTTCTTCTCTTCCTCTAAGACTCATCTGAGTGCCCGCCGTGCTCTAAAGCCTTCTCTGATCCACACACACAGTTTAAGTGCGTGGCCCTCCTGGGTGCACAGAGAGCAAGCCCATCTCTCTACAGATCCCCAGTGCACTGAGCACACTGAATCCTATCTGCCTGTTCACATGTCTGCCTCTCTCACTGAACTGTAGCAACTCGAGGACAGACACTGTACCCTTCTCTACCTTCCGTCTCCACATGGAGAGGGAAAGTGGGCTAACCAAGGCCCCTTTGCTCACAAGCACCCAGTCTAAGGGCCAGCCTAACCAGCCAGAGTGATAGGAACATGTTCCAGGGGCATGGACCTCAGAAGCAACTTTTTTTCTGGATGCACGGAGCATGTTTCCAATCCCCTGTACCACCTACTTGCCCCCCAGAGCCACCCTCCATTGGGCACAATTGTAATTTGGGAGAATTTCTTTAAAACATGAAATCAATATTTAGATGCAGACTTCAAGCAATATAGAGCTTTGGTTTGTGAGAATGGCATCATTCTGTTGGGAAAAACAAAGCCCAGCTTTGGCAGCCCTGATGGGGGAGGCAGATCTTGCATCTACCACGGTGGAAGGTGGGGAGGTTGCTGTCTGGAAAGAATGCTAGACGTGTGCATGTGTGTGGCGGGAAGCTCTGGGCTCATAAACTGCCTGGCTACAGAGAAGGCTGGACCTGATTTCTTGACCACAGGCTCCTGAAGCCCCAGTGCTCTTGCTGACAGAGGCCCCTAGAGGAAAAGGAACAGGCTGGAATTGCTCAGGAAAATGTTCTTCCCAGGCTGGGGTGGCCAAGAGACCATCCATTTAATGCCTGATGGAGAAGAGTGAAGAGCCTGTGCTTAGCAGTGAATGGTCCGGAAGCCAGGCAGTGTGGCTTTTCCAAGCAGGTAGATGTCCTCATCTGTGCCCTGGTTGAGATGCTTCACCAAATTCTTCTCATAGAGCAGTGGGTGGTAGGCGCCCATCGTGCAGGCACTATCGAAGAACTTCTGGTAGTAGTAGCACACGTCGGTCTTGCGCTTGGATGGGAGGAACTCATAAATATCCACCTGGTCACACAGGGTCATCATGATGATGATACCTGGAGAGGGAGGCAGAGGTGAGTCATGCCTGACAACCCACCTCAGCACCCCAGAGCTCTGCCCAGTGGGTCCAGCAGCTCCTGACCCCAAATTTGGAGAGCTTTCCCTCTGGAGTTTCTATTTATGACTGTGATTCCCAATCCAAGTTTCAGCAAGCCAAGCCCAGCAGTGTTCCTTAGGATGCAGGGCTGTATGAGCGTGATACACCTTTGAATCCCCAGCACCTAGGCCAGGGCCTGGTGAATAACAGATGCTCCCTAAATGCTAGTAGATTAAATGACTCCATCAATCAGCCAATGAATATATCCATGGAGTAATTTATTTGAAGAAACAGGACAAGATTACTGAGCTGATTGAGGAGACAGTGCCATCATGTGTAGCTAGCACTGTGACATCCTGCAGAACCTCTTGGATGGTGCAGTTTGGGAGCAGATTTTTCCTTACAGCACTTACATGAAACAGTGTCGGGGAGGGAAGACTTTTCTTCCCTTAGCTGGGCAAAGGGACAGCTGGAACAGGAGCACTCCACAGCCTGTATGATGAGGTGTGGAGAAAATCCAAGGAGAGGGCCCCTGGCCAGCATTGTTCCAATAAACTCTGCACAGCACGGCCACTGATCCTATCTTTATTTAAATATTTGCTGTTTCATTCATCAGAATTTTTACATTGTGTTTTCTGAAGATACTGTCTTACAATATTATTTATCTTGATGACTGAGTTTTTAAGGGGTACCCCCTTAAATTGTACACCTGAGAAAAGTGCCTTGCTCCCCTCATCTGAGGTACAGCCCCGCTCCTCATTTTCCTGCCTCCCTCCCTGTTCGTGGCTTCCCTTCCCTCCATCTTCCTCTGCCATATTCTCCCCTCTCCAAAGCCTACCAAACGCTACTTCCTCCATGAGGCTATATGTGACTGTCCAGCTAGAAGGTGTCCTCTCTCCTATGACCCCAGGTTGTCTCTCCCTTCTGGCACAAATTGAATATTGCCTCAGACATCTGATTGACCTCCCCAATAGATACCCTCAGGAAAAAGAATTCTATCTTATTCACCTCTGTATTTTAGATAGAACTTGGCACGGTGTACAAGCAGAGCAAAATTCTAGCAATTGTTTAGTGGACAAACGAACGAACGAATGAATGAATGAGACCTCAGACAAAAAGCTCATCTCTTCTAGAAACAAACACGCAAGGTCTTTTCCCCAACATGAACTCACCAAGCATCCCAGAGGATGGGGGGTTTGGCTGAATCTCTTCTGGGGAGATTTCTTGAAGAATGTCCCACAACTCCCAAGGCATCTGGGGCTTGAGGATGTAAAAGGGCTGATCGGGGTGCAGCTTACGATAACTCTTGTAGTTATTAAAGAAATTATAATCCGGATTCTGGTACCACTGAAAAAGAAAGAAGTGGTCCTTTCAAGGGAGAAATGGGCCAGTGAGCTGCTCCCCCCAGGAGTCATCCTCATCAGTGGCCATGGGGAGGGGAAAGGACCAACAAGGTTGCTCCTGAGGCACAGCCCTTTTCTTGCAGTGGACTACAGGCTTCTCTTCCGGTCACAGGTTTCACTGGATAGCAGGGTGGGGCCTGGCCTGTAGCCTGTGCTTTTGGGGAGAGTTGACCTTGGCGACCCAGGATCAGCCTCAGGCTTCAGGATCAGAGTCCAGGAACACTATCAGAGCTGAGAAGAGCCCCAGCTACCATCTGGCCCCATCTCTCATTTTTAAAGGGGAGAAAACTAGAGCATAAGTTGCCACATCTATGGGTTCAGAGTCCTTGTCCCGACCTAGGCATATTTGAGTTCTAAGTGAGATCAGTGCAAAACTGTTGAAAGTCAGATAGTGAGGGTGCCAGGGGTCGCCAGAGCCTGTCAGGCATTGGTAGAGCCAACTTAAGTGTCCCAAGATGAGTGCTCTCTGCCCTTCTCAGGAGTCATGGTCCTGAGGCCACAGCAGCCTGTATCAGAGAGAGGTCAACTGACATGCATGAACAGTGAGAGAACTACTCCAGAGAGGTTAGAATCCAGCAGGCCTCCACTCAGGTGGAGGAAAGAGCTTCCCTGGAAAGAGCTGCTGTTGCAGATCTGCGCCTTCTGCTTAGTAAATCAAGCCCTGGGACGGGGACTTTCATTCTCCACACTCCAATTCCCCGTCTGTAAAATGGGAACAACCACACTTCCATCGATCTCCTTAAATTGTTATGAGAGTGAAACGGGAAGAATTCTGGATACTGGAAGTGTGAAATAAGCATGCTAATATTATTTACAGGAGTAATGGCAACTACTCTCGAGTTCTGCTGATGCTCATTAGGAGTAACTGCATTAATGAACAACCTACCCCAGATGTTGGGAGCTCCAGCCACTATCCCAGTAAATACTATAACTGGGAGACAATACCTGGCAGTGCCTGGCAGGGCAAGGAGAGTAGCTGGCATAGGACAGGAATACTTCTGAATCTGCTAGTCCAGGCGAAATGGGGTATCCTAAAACTCAAATACCCAGCCTTTAGGGATAGCCAATGTCAGCCATGACTTTAAAAACATAGGAAATCAGGAAAATCTGTAGACAGACAGGAAGCTCAACCCCTATTTCCCATGGACACCCACTTACCTTTGGGATATCTGAATGGTATACAGATGGGTCCCATACGATTAGGATTCCTTCATTGTACAAACTGTCTTTGAGGAAGCGCTTCTCTGTGGTAACCAACTGCAGGAGGAAAGAGATGAGCTGTCACTTGAACATTCATATGCAACTGTTTGACATGAAGTAATAGCTGACACAGCACAAGGTACAGCCTGAGACCCCAGAGTCGCCTGTGAGGCTTCTAAGTTCTGGTGTGGCACTTAACTTCGGTGAAAGAAAGGTAAAGATGCCAGCCTGCACGGCGTTGACCTGAAAGGACATTTATCACAAGCCACTAGCCATAGAATAGAAAGGGTTCCATCCACTCAGGCTTTGAGATTACGGGGACAAGGGTACAGTGAAAACAGCATGGCATCCCAGCCTCCTGGAGTCACACCTTGTGTGGGAGCCACAAGAGTAGAGTCTAAAGTCAGGGACTCATATAATCAAAATTATCTCTGGAATCCTTTCAGTCACCTAGAAAGTCCAGCACACTACATATACATCGTGGTGGAGACTGACACAGGATCTCTCACAAAGTCCAACACAGCCAATAGTTTCTGCAGCACTGGAGCAGATGGCTGTGCTTGTGGCTGAGCACCAGATGAAATATTCAGTTTGTGTGGAGAGGCCAGAGTGCGTGCAAAAATGCGCACCTCCCAACAGGAGACTCTCACCAGGCCGGTGAGAAGCTCATGTGTGCCTCTGCTGGCTGAGGGATCCAGCAATGGCTGGCTATGGCCCTTCCCCACCACACTGGCTCCTGGGCTGGCCTGCATATGGGTAGTCACACCTGCCTGGCTTAAACATGAGTGTGACAACCTAGATTGAATAATTCTGCAAAATGTACTAAGAGTGGTTTTTTTGTTGTTTTTTGTTTTTTAAAAAAAGCATATTTATACTCTTTGACTCAATAATTCCATGTTTGGGAATCTATCCTAAGAAAGAATCCAAATTCTGGGGGGAAATTATACATGTAAATGTTAATTACTTATCAAAATAAAGAAAAGTATGGCAAAAGATACTGGTCTCGGATACAAAAAGATCCAGGAACAACTCTTGGCTGTGCCACTAACTTTCCTATGACCTTGAGCAAACAGAGTAATAGTACTAGGCCCTTATTTTCTTATCTGTGAAATGGGAATAACACGTTTGCTCTGCTCTCTCAAACGGGAGCTGTGTTGTGGATCAAATGGAGACCATGAGTGAATGAGAAAGAAAATTAGCCCCAAAGGCTTAAGAATGAAGGGAGCCGTGTCCCTCTTAAGAAAGCCAGAACTAATATATGAAATCAGCTGTCAACATTCACCTTGAAAAGCAGGTGGGAGATGATGTTGCCCAGGTAAAAACTGAGAGGAATAAATGGCAGAAATCAAATCAAGAATTAACTGAAATGAAAGCAAGAATCACGACAATAATCCCTCTCCATCTTGGTCTACATCACCAAGGCTGAGACCTAATTAATGTCACTGCAGTATCTGGAAAAAACTATGGCAAGGGAGATGGCCCGTGTGCAACCCACAGAATAGCAATCTGTCGCAAGCCTCTACCGTCACTGAGCTATCCCCATCCCCATACCGTCCTACAGACGTAAGGAAGTTCCCGGAAGCCTGAAGAATATACTCTCATTTCCTCAATATATCTTTGGGACAAGAATACTCAATATATCTTTGGGACAAGAAATACTGGTGGTGGGTCCACCTTGGCGGGAGGTTGTGCAGCTATACTGGGTGCTAAGGAGCCAAAGGAAAGACACAGTCCCTGCCCTCCAGGAGGTCACAGGGTAGCAGGAAAGGTGGACAAGGATAGTTGTCTAAGGTGCACTGCAGCCTGGGTGACAGAGTCAGACTCTGTCTCAAAAAAAAAAAAAAAAAAAAAAAAAGAAAAGAAGAAAAGAGATTGCCTTAAAACTGGATGGGGAATTGGAAGCATGGGTTCCAGTCCTGCTCTGTGTCTAACTCACTCCATGGTATTAGATGGACCATTTCACATCTCCTGGCCTCAGGTGCCTTATTTAGACATAACCCCTTTGTAAGGCCCTGCTGAGGGGACCAGCTATTCCTGGAAGAATAAAGCTGTTCTCAAATGCCTGTAATTACCTGCAGGGGGAGTGTGACCTGGGTTTGGAGATCCTCTTAGGGGGCAGGGGGGAGTTCATGCTGAGAATAAGTCATTGGCAGAACGGCAGAGCCCTGGGGAACATCTGCCAGGAAAAGGCTACACCAGGGCATGGAGTGCTGCCGCTGAAGACACTGTTTAAAGTCACCCTCTCAGTTAGAAAGTAACAAACCCTCACTGGGGACAGTTAGAAAACCCAAGAATAGAAACAAACACACACATACATCTTCAGATATTACCACTGTGCATATTTTGGACTTTTTTCTTCTCAGATCTGTTTTCCCTCTGTTATGGACTGAATTGTGTGCCCCCAGAATTCACATGTTGAAGCCCTAATCCCCAATGTTACTAGTACCCTGTTTGGAAATAGGACTGTGAGGGAGGTAATTAGGATTAAATGTGTCATGGGGTGGGGCCCTAATTCCATGGGGCCAGTGTCCTTACAACAAGCAGAGACCCGCAGAGCTCTCTCTTTCCACCACGCACAGAGGAAAAGCCATGTGAAGGCACAGCCTGAAGGCCTCCTTTCTCTGATTCGGAGAAATAGCGTTTGAGAGTGCTGGCCCAAATCAAGAGGTCCCAGAACTCATAATTGCCATCATGTTTAAATTTTAGTGCCAATTATTATATTAATAGACTGTATGGCAGGGGTTCCATCAGAATCGCTCAGCTCACCGTCGCTGGTTTTAGACCTGTTGTTGATGGAAATCCCAGCCGCCTTCCACCTGCCCCGCCAACCCATCCAGATACCTGTCTTTCAGTATCTTGGGGAGAAAAGTTGGAGCTTCCAGAAAGGTTTGGTGATTTAAAAAAGTGCTGGTGGCAAACACCTAGATCCAAATCCCACCTCTGTCACTGACTTTCTGGGCTCCTCTGAGCAACTCACTCAAACTCTGGGAGTCTGAGTTCTGAGGGAAACTGGTGGTTGGGTCATACCTCACAGGGTTTGCTACGAAGATCAAATGAGATAAGGTTTGTAAGACCCTTAGATGGTATATATAATATATCTAACAAATGGCATCAACTATTATTTCAAGATAAGCCCCGCTGAGTAATCTGGAAATGTCCTGGTTGCAGCCCAGTCAGCATGGACTGTCGCTAGGCATATAGGAAGTAGGTCTCTCTCCAGCTAGCACAAAAGCTTCCAAGGAAGCCATTGGGTCTTCTTGTCACATTGTCTTCTCTGTCGGGCTCACTGGGTACAGGAGGTACTGAGTTGAGTCTCACAGAAACCTTCTTACACTTACAGTCAAAACTGCATTTATTTAAAGACCCACCCATTTACATATATCATTTTTCCTGTTGACTCTCATAGCCACACCTGGCACAGAAGCATCACATGCCTGACTAGGTCTGCTGGCCTGAAACCTAACAGTATGACACCATTCTCTATAAAAAGCCACCTTCTCAATAAGAAAAGTGCCTTTTTTGTTTTGCATGCCTTCATCACAGCCAAAGGGATGGGAGCTGAACAAATGTGGGTCCAGATGCCTTTAGAAGGGAGCTGCTGAAGCCGGGTATAGGTGGCTCACGTCTGTAATCCCAGCACTTTGGGAGGCTGAGGCAGGTGGATCACCTGAGGTCACGAGTTCGAGACCAGACTGGCCAATATGGCGAAACTCTGTCTCTACTAAAAATACAAAAATTAGCTGCGCATGGGGGTGTGTGCCTCTAATCCCAGTTACTTGGGAGACCAAGGCAGGAGAATCACTTGAACCCAGGAGGCAGAGCAGAGAGCTGAGATTGTGCCACTGCACTCGAGTCTGAGCGCAAGAACAAAACTGTCAAAAAAAAAAAAAAAAGAGAAGAGAGCTGCTGTCAGGAGGACCTCCCCGTCTGGGAAGAGAACAAGCCACTCAGAGGCAGAATTTTACCAAAGCAACAGCTATTCTCTCAGTGACTTCTGGGTGCCAGATGTTCTCCTTGTGCAGTGGGGGTGGGGACCCCGTTTGCTAATCCACAGAAACGGACACGAAATAGTTAGGATAACTGACCAGGACAAAAGACAGAGAAGACAGACCACCGGCTTTTTAGGATATGAAGGTAAGAAAGGGCAATGATAGAAAGTGTCCATCACAGTTCAGTACCACAACAAGTGCCGTCATGGAGCGGCCAGGACGTGAGTACGAAAGGAACAGCCAGATACTTAGTGTTGCTTACAGGAGGTGAGAAAAGAGAGCTGATTTGCCTAAGAAGAAGCAGGAAAGGCTCCCTTGAGGGTGGATAGTGTATCCCAGGAAGTGGGCTACCTTCCTCTCAGCCCTGGCACAATGGTGCACAGAGAGCTATATAAGTATAAGGGGAAAAACAAATCTGCTTCGGTAGAAAGCCATTTTCTTCCTCCCTATCAGATTCTGATTCCACGGGAGCTATTTCACAACCCTTTGTGAACCGCAGGCAACTAATCCATGCGCCTACTGGGCAGGATGCTGCCCAGGAGAGCTTCAACTGACTCCTCCCCTCCCCCTGCCTTAGCTCACACAAAAACTAGTTTCACTCCTTTACTCCAAATTTGTGTTGCTTTGACTTTTCCTCTGAACCAGTTGTAATATCTACCTGGTTCCATCATACAAGTAAAATAGAATCTTCATGATGAATTCATTTTTATATCTGTATGAGAGTCATCATCTTACCCTTTTTTCCCTAAAAATTATCCTTCAACAGAAGTCTTGCCTCCCTTCTGCTAGATGCCTCTCAAGTGGTCTCAAATTGACTCACCTTCCCTGTTGGGATTTGGGAAGGTGGAGTCATTCGCAAACAGGCAGAGGCAGACCTTGAAGTTTCAGTCGTGCCCATCGCTACTATTTACAAAGCACTTGCTGCAGACCAGCCTCCGGGTGACATGCTCCACACATAGTAACTCCTTTGATCCTAAAAAAAAAAAAACCCTGGATAGTAACTATTCATATTTCTATCTTACGAGTAAGGGAACTGAGGCTCAGAAAGGTAAAGTAAAGCAACTTGCT